GTGCTTCCTTTCATCAAGAGAAGAAAAGATTCATTTTGGACCACAAGCAACATATCTGAGCAGCACAAATCATAGAGACAGCAGGGATTTTGTTCTTCTCTCCTCCAGTCCTAGCCCTCACTCAAAACCCAGCAGGTGCCGCAGCTATTGAGGCTACTGTGGGAGGAGAGATTGGTCCCTCTGCCTTTTCTATGATGGATTTCTGTCTTTATGATTGTTGAATGTCAGTGGGAATAGAAAAAAAGAAACAACACTTTGATTGAGGGACTAACACAGAAACCTGACATTTACTGATGTCAACAATCTTCCACTGGGTAATGTTTCCAGAGTCAATAGCAGCAGAGATTAGCGCTGAAGCTAACGGATCATTCAGAGTCTGATTTAAAAAGATGTTTTTTCATCTGATGCCTGGAAGAGATGGATATCACACTCACATATATAACATGTATGGCAGCCCGAGTGGGACAAAATGAGGGACAATATAAGCATGGCAAATATTATCAAAGGACTTTATCCGGTCACATATCATGTTGGTATCAATAGGTTGTCTGACAAGTAACACAAAGTAGCAGAGAAGAAATGAAGAAAATTATTTTTAGTTTTGGTAAAGCAAACAAATCCGGGTCAAGGGAGGAAGTTAACAAGCTGCCGTTGCTACATGGAATCAATTTGACTTTGATTCATTGCCGTTAAATCTTTGTGTTTGAATCCAAAATTGTCACGATGACAATGAACTGTAAGAGGCTGAAGGTGTTGTCCTGTGAGGAGCTGCTCATCTTTTGCCAAATGACATTGCGTCTTATTTCTGGCAATCTTTTTAGCATTTACAGAAGAGCTACGTAGTTTAACAGTTTAGTTTTGGTTAGTGATGAAAAAGAGATGGAGCCACGCAAAGTTAAAGTATTTTGGGGGAGAAAAAGTCACATCAGTGTATGTCTGGTCTCTGTTACATAGTTTGCTCACCAGAAAGCAATGACAACTTAATTATTCTACAACGTCACAACTCAGGGACTAAATCTAAGGTGTCCAAGTCTAAAATATTAGTTTGTCCGATATATTGTTATCAGATCTTTGAGGAGCCGGTTTCAAGAAAAGGGAAAGACGGAAGAGAAAACGATAACGGATATTTAAATAACAGGTAAAAGAAACAAGCCACAACATTTAGCATTGAGTAGATGTCAAGATGGCAGCCGTGAAAAAAAAAAAGAGGAATAGACAAATCCAAACAGGAAATCAAGGAACACAGACAGTAGGTGAAGAGAAGATAAACGAGAAGATAAGTAAAATATAAAGAAACACAAAAAAAGACTATTAAAACACAATGGATGGACACACACACACACACACACACACACACACACACACCAATGTAGGAAAAGAGAAGCACAAACAAGAAGAGACATCAAGAGATGAAACGGCGTAGACGTCAAGAAATAGACAGAGGCGCTAACGATAAAGAGACATCAAGAAAAGGCAAAAAGGGGGACGAGAAGAAACAAAGAAGAGATTAGAAACGTGAAGGAAAACGAAGATAAGAGGAGAGGCGGAAAGAAAGGAGACATTAAGGAAGATGGGGCGGGGAGATAAAAACAGCAGGTTTCAAGTGTTTGCATGTTTTCTGTGAGTCAGTGTTCCGCCTGAACGACCTGCCACGACAATACAGGAGGCGAGCGTGGGCGAGCGAGAGGGAGCGAGGGAGAGCGAGGAGGAGGATGACCATGGAGGGGGACGAAGGATGGAGATCATTTTACAATTAACAAGGGGATACTTATTGAAAAAAAGCAAACAGATGAATATGGATGTAAATATTGCTAGTTGTTGTTGCAGCTCTTATTCGCACCCGTGGGTGGAACAGGAAATCACAAAATCATCACTCACAGGTGAGAACTTCTTATTTTGCCACTGAACAGCTTGTGCAGAAAAGTGTGTGAAGGTGCAATATGACAGATTGTATCATTTGGCAAATGCAAATATTATGCTGTACAAAATTACCATATTTAAGTTTCAATTTACGTGAGGTTGTAACTACAGGTTAGACATTGATAGTATTCAAAAAGCATATCTATTTACCGACAATACAAGTGAAGTATCTGCATATTCGCTAAGCTGTAGAGACCTATTAATAACATTATTCATACACTTTATGAGGGAACGTTATCTTCACAAGAAATGCATCAGTGACGATCGTTAATGCACATGAGGACCTGCTCAACAGAAAGTCATGTCTCACATTCAATCCACTTCTTTAGAACTTCTGAAGAGACCTTTCTTTCATTCCAAGGCTGGATCAAGCAGCAACAAGCGCCGCGAGCGAGCTGTCAGAAGCAGAACTTTTTGGAACGGTGTATACGTACTGGAGTCTGTGAAGTGAAAAGATTTAGAGAAAGCCCGGCACAGCGAGGAGTAAACAAATATAGAGACTCCCGATGAAAGCCATCTGACCCCCGCCTTGAATCTGATGATCCTCGACGCACCGCGAAGCCCCGACTGACACCATCAGAGCTCCTCACAGCTCAAACTCTGCTCTTCTGTGCTTCTCAGACTTTGTTTACCTAAAAGCACAGCAGCGCTTTACCGCGGGTTCACACCTATGATCAGAACCGCGGTGAAGGTGAAACAGCTTGAAATGAAAAGAAGTCCGCAATCCGCCCGAGACTTCCCAGAACCCAGAGAGGAAAAGTTTCCTGCTTCATTAAAAACACAAAGTTCACTTCAAGAAAGCATCACCAAGCAAAGAGGCAAATATAAATCATCAGTTACTCTTTGAGTCAAATAGGAATCGTTTCATTAATTATGATTTGAAAAAGGAGAGAAGAGGCTGTTCCTGCTCCGCAGCGAGGATATAATTACACGACATAGAGACCGGGTGCTAATTAGCACATCAGAAAATAAAACTGCACAAAAAAGAAAAAAAGCATCTCATCAATTGTTTATCTTCTTCGTGTCGGCTGTGAGGTATCAAAACAAAACAGCATCAATTAATGCATAAGGGCATCAGTATTACTGCGGGACAGCAGACAGATTGTTGCTGTCGACATCAGCATGGAGAACAGTGACCAGTCTCCTGGTATTTAGATGGTATATAATGCGGCAATGAGGCAATAAAGTGTGAACTGTTTTCAACGAAAACTTTATCTTTAATACATCCATTTTCATCCGCTTATAATAAATCTGTTGCCCACAGCTGCTTTCCACTGCATGCGAGCTTCTCCTTCACTTCATTAAGCCACCTGAAGGCCGGTCTGAAGGCAGCGGGGCATATTGATCAATCTGCAGCCTCCCATTAGAGAGGAGCCACACGCCAGAGTGCAGCGGTGCAAATGACACCGGGCTGCCAGAAGGTAACCACGCACATCTCTGCACCAATCAGGCGGCTCGGCCACCACGGAGGATTCTGCCTGTTTGGTGAGGGAGACGTGGGATTATACAGAAGCTCAGTGGTCCTGTGCATCGCAGCCTGTTTATACAATTTCCTTTGTGTTTTTTTTAGTTCATGTTTTATTCTCAAACTCTGCTGTGTCACATTTGAGGATATGATGAGACCCTTTCGCAGCATAACATACTACAGTATTACGCCCGACTTCAGCTGAATTTCCCCTCTAAATGTCAGATTAAATTATTCCTCCACACCCTCTTTTTTCTTTTCTCTCTCTCCGTCTTCATATATCTAGAGTGGAATATTTAATATCTATGGAAATGGGAAAGTGAGCAGGAAATTATGCGTCACACAGCAGCTATATGAACCGGGCGTAATGATGAATATCTTGTTCCATCCTCCGCTCGGACCCCGGTGATAATATTGCACTTGTCCCCCGATTTATTATGCAAGGGTTCAAAGCTGTGCATTAACTCCGGAGTTGGAACTGATTAAAGCGCCCGTGTGAGCACACCGGAGAGAGTGGATCATCCTCTCGCTGACCTCTAACACTGGCGGGGTCACGAGAAGCCCTCATCATCATCACCGCGGGTTCAGAGGTCGCCGCGGTCTTTAGCTCCAAACACGAGCGGTCACGTCGGCTGTGAGGCAGCTCGAGGGGTCGCATTGAAAACTAATCTACAGTCTCACCACAGAAAAAAATTATTAAAAGGAGGGGAAAAAATTTCAAATTATATTATATATTCAAAAAAAAACAGTGGGTACAGACATTGTAGCTATTACTAAATCTTTACCAGATTTAGTAATTTTGTGATGCTACACACTGCCCCGGACATTTTGCTGACACACACTGTAATCGGACAGATATAATTAATGTGTGTTATATTGGCCAAATATAGGTTTATTACAGTAAATGCTCTACAACTCCACTACTGTCACCTACAGCATGACAAGTGTGTGAGACTCAGTAAACTCTATGAGGAAGAAGTGTCCCACAGTTATTCAGACCTGTTTCAATCCACCTGCGAGTTCACTGAGACACATGCCAACTGTAAGCATGTTTATTTTACTGTCCATCTTTATTTTTTCTTCAATCCTCATTTATTTTGAAGTATCAGTGGTCAATAACCACTCCCATCAAATCTGAAGTTATAGGCTAAATCATCAGCAAAATCAGCAAAGATTGCCCTGACACACACACACCTAGCTGCTCTCTGGTGTTAATAAATAACTGACTGGTCCGATTAGGCGCATTTCTGCAACACTGGCTCACAACTGCGTGCCTGTGTGTGTGTGTGTCCGTTTGTGTGTGTGTCTCTCTCTCTTCCCTCCTCTGTCTGCTTATGATGTACAAAAGCAAGCATATCTTGTGATCACATCTGGGCCTCGGCAGAAGCTGGCTATTGCTTTCTGCTTTTGAATAGCTCACTATTTGTGCAACAGTCACCGTCAACACTTGCAAACAAATGAGTCAGTGGTTGGTGTGTGTGCGCGTGTGTGCGTGTGCGGGCACGGAAGACGGAGGGAGACAGAGGAAGAAAATACCACTTAAAGTCTCTCTCAAGCCCGTATCGACCGCAGCTGTTCTCGTATATCTGTGTGTGTGTGTGTGTTTCCTCTGTACCTTTGTCGCTGAAGTCGTCGACCAGGATGACCTCGGCGATGAGCTGTGGGGGAGAGCGGTTGAGCACACTGTGAACAGTCCTCAGCAGCGATGACCAGCCCTCGTTGTGGAACGGGATGATGACGCTGGTGTTGGGCAGCTTCTCCTCATACAGCTTCAGTTTACAGCTGCAGGGACACATGAGAGCACGCGAAGACATGAGAGAGTGACGCGGAGCGGAGAGCGCCATCACGGCCAAATAACATTAGACGTTTCGCAGATATTGTGAGGTTGACCATTGGTGCTTTCACAAAATATTCTTAGAATGAGATTTTTGATGTAATCCTCAGTAAAAAGTTAAAGAAAAGCTAGAACAGTCATTAGCCATAATATGATATATTGTACCATGCATCGATACGATATAGCGATATTGTACCATGCATCGATACGATATAGCGATATTGCCCGGCTCTTTTTTTGATAACTATCAGATTTGTTGTTATTAAATTTGGTACACTTTCACACTCTCCTACAGAATTTAATAACAGATCATAATTTTCTAAGTATAAGCACAGGCAGTAAACACCACATGCTTAAGAATAGCATGCCAACATGCTGGTCAGGTGCTAGCATCATGTTAGCATGGGAAAGTCCTTCGTTTTCGTTCTAAAATGTTCAACTTGAATATTCCACTTTTTATTTTTCTCAAAAGTACACATGAGGGAGTCTATTCAAACTTGTGGATCCTCTCTATTCATGACATTTCAGTTCTGCAGTCGAGACAACTGCCTTCATGAAACCGTTTGGAAATTAAAGGGAGATTTGGATGCATACAAAAACAACAGCAGCCAATGAGAAGCCAGTCAGTGTGTTTGACTCCATCTCTTAAGCCTAAATGGTAACATTTACTTTAACCGTCGGCCATAACGCACCCATATAGTTTCACAAGATCATTTTGTGCGATTCATTAAAACTTCCAAATGCTAATTGACGGCGGGGAAGGAAATTTTGTGGAAGCAGGGACGCTGCCCTTTTCTCCAGTCTCTCTCCCTCGCTCTCTCATCTGTAGAGACATTAATTACTGTATGTCTGGACTGTCTGGCTGCCTGAAACTCTCCCCCCCTCTCTTTGTGTCTCTCTGTCCGTCTCTCCGCTGCATCATTCACTCAGTGATTGAGAGTGGAATGAATGAATGAATGCTGCTGGGAGGTCTGAGCCCACCGACGACTGATGTGACACCCGCTTGTCAGACACCCGTCACTCTGCTGTCACTTTGAGCGATCAAGCGGACACACCTGCTCCTCCCCCCCTCTCCCCTCTTCCCCCATCCAGTGCATCACCCACTGGATGGGGGATGCATCCGGTGGGTGATTCTCCCATCCACCGGACGCTTCAGACCGTCTGAAGTGTGTAGGAGCTCGGAGGTCCGGAGCGGCCCTGACAACTGATTTCTCTGGTCCTGCGGAGAGGATTTCAGTGTTGGACACAACAGACTTTCGCCTGTCGAGTCAGACTTTGACCGGCCTTCGTTGGTCGGGGACATTATTGAGCCAAAAGCTGGTTTTCAATTGAGAACAATTGATCGCACAAGAGTCGGCTTAATGAGGACTATTATTATATATTGTCCTTGTTCCTAGCTGTTGTTTCTATTCCTGTTTGTGCACTCACTTGGTCAAATGAAGCTGATTTTATGATTCTGATTGTAAAGAAAATAGCAATATGTTGTATAAACGTCTAAGAGATCACAAAGCAATACTGCCATTGTGTCCATTGACTGCTAATAATTGTGGCAACAGCAGCTGTAGCTTTTGTCTAGTTGTCTTTTCTTTTTACATTATTTGGTAATGTTAATATGTGTTTCACTTTCAGCACATTCAAAACGCTTCTTTACTGCAACCACAAACAACACCAGCACCGCTGCTCCTTATTGATCTGTACTTCTTTGCAAAAGTTCTACATACAGTAGCTCAATTTGTGTGAAAAGCAGCCCAGGCTAATTTCAAGCTTTGTGTGGATATTTCTCTCATCTTTGCTCCTCTGTGTTCTCTAATGTTAGCGCCGAGAGGAAAGAGGCGATAAATGCACCAATAACTTTCATTCACCCTCCGAATCGCGAAGTGATAATGAGAAAACGCTGCTGACCAGAAGGCACGGAAATCACAAAGTCTCCTTTTTATTGCACACTGGCTCCACAGCCGCATTGCTGCTCCACCTCGGAGCTCACGAAATAAATTAACAGCTGCGAGAATGTGCAAATAATTTGTTGCCATGTATTAATTCTTAAAATGTGCTGCAGCTTGTGCTGTGTGAGGATGCTGGGACGACTTGCAGGAGAGCAAAACGTGGTTGATGGCCGACGCCTCGTAAGGTCGCGGGATGCAGGAGGTTTAAAAATACGAAGGGAGAAATGCGAGAGAACATGAAATCTCGTCCCGGTGAGACCTCGGGAGAGAAAACATTTAAAACCGCTTTCTACATGAAAGTGACGGCGGGGTCAAAAGAAGGTACAGGGAGAGCGCTGAAGGCGGATCTGTGACGAATGGGTTCAGCAGGTCGGAATCTATTTAGCGGACGATATTTATAGTGTTGCGGGTGTGTTTATTTTCAGAATTTTGTTCTTTAATGAGTCAGAGGAGAGCTGGAAGAAACGCAGCAGTCTGTACTGCAGCCACAGGTCCATACGGCTCATCACGTCTCCACAGCCTGTTCTTCAACACTTCAAACTGGAGGTTTACTGCTGAGATTAACTAGCAACAAGAGTGTCTACACGTTAACCCGCTTAACATATTATCACATTAAGGTGTCCACATGCTACAATTTATTATAATAATAATAATAATAATAATAATAATAATAGCTTTATTCATATAGCACCTTTAATAGCAAAAGCAAGGCAACAACAGAAAGCTCAACAGTGAGGCCCAACAAAGCACGACAACTACGATACGAGTTAAACACGATGAAACGAAAATCGATACGATAAAAATAAATTAATGGATTAAATTAAATTATTTAGTAAAATCATCAAATAAAAATAAAGCAGTAAAGCGACGACATCACATAAAAGCCAGTCTGTAAAAATAGGTTCCAAGAAGTGGTTTAAAAGAGATTACTGATTCTGCGAGCCTCATCTCGCACCATGTGCACAGGTAACATGGAAACATTAATCAATCCATCCATGACTTTCTCTGCTGCACATCTGGGTTGCGCTAGCTAAACACGAAGAAGCGGTCCCTAATGGTGTGTGTTCGCACCAACGGCGAAGCTCATTTTTGGCTAACGTTAGCCGCTACATGTGCCGGAGAGGAGGGGGGGGGGCTTACCTTCATGTAGAAACTTTAATTTAATGGTAAATAGAGAGCTGAGCCTGAGGTTCGTATGCATTACAGCTAGAAACAAAACAATGCAATTATTAGCATTGATCTAAACGTGAGGCTAAGGCTAACAGGAAGTCGCTCATTAGTTTCATCCAGATAGAGGACATGTGGACATTTTAACCTGTTAGTGACGACGATGTCAGTAGATCTCCAAAATGATTAGGACTCCCCCTCTGGAGGAACAACATTAAATGGTCAACAAACACTGGTTAGACTTCTATGAAATGCGCTCTAACTGACTGCAGTGCCCAGATGGTGATTACCAAAGTCGTTGGTCACCTTCCTCCCCTTCCCTCTCGTGCCGCCATCAGTTCAAAACGTCCATCTCTACGCAAGAAACCTCAAAATGTAATTGGCGGTTCTCCATTACATTTACTTGCACGATGAACTGGAGTACAATGAATATTGCGTTAACTGCTGGTCCTCGCTGACCGACGTGGTACAACAAGACTTTCTGCTTCCATCATCGTCACTATTCCTCCTGAGGAACCCCTCCATGAAAACATCTCCCTCAGCTCCAGAACACACGTCTATCAGTTCTTCACACCTTGGCGCACATAGGGGGACATCAGTGACACTGATAATTGCTGTCAAGAACACGGTTTAAAAGTACATGGGTGTTGCATGCTGTGTAGTCAGCTTCTGTCGGCAGAGAGCTGCATGTCTCCTGTGAATAGACCGGGCAGCTTGTTAATTGGAACCATTGTTCCGAACAGTGCTTGTTGTAATGAGTTGGGACAGATCCAGCGTGGAAAAATTAAAGGTGTAAACAAAGCTATGAGTGGGCTTTGGTGTTGTCCTGTTGGTCACTGTCGTCCCGGCTCAACTGGCGAAAGATGACACAATCTGGGTTTTACAGGTTAATTCATTATTCACCTCTCATTTGTCATATTTGGTGCTTTTAATGCCTGGAAGAAAGCCATATGAAGGCATAGTTGTCTTTTGGATATTAAAACACATGAATATTTTGTGTTTTTAAAGCTTTGTATGTAGTCATTTTTTGCTTCCAAGTCGCGCCTTTCTAGTCTTTCTAGACCACTCAAAGCGCCTAGATGTCAACTTTCACCTACACACTTTCATACGGCGCAGTGGTGGCAGAGGCTGCCATGCAAGGTGCCAACCTGCCCATCGGGATCTAATCTAAATACTCGTATAGAACAGCGGCTCTTCTGATTAGTGGGCGACCTGCTCCACCTGCTGAGCTCCTGAGTTTTTGTCTCACAGCAGTCGGGTCCATTTCATGTCCACGTTTACAGCTTTGAAGACAATTCTAAAGGCACTTTGCACTTCACAAAAGAGGCCTAGTCAAACTGTGACATAATAAAATAAATGCATGTAGTCGTGCCCACATTTCAGCTTTCTCTCTCTCTCAAAATCATCAGAAAACTCAAAACTGTTTCCGCTATTTGACTTCCTGTCTCCTTCCCTTAATTAAAAAAACAACTGATTTCCCCGGCCAGTCCTGCAATCAGGCTGGCCTCTCGTTCAATAGTCAACCTTATTTTTGGGGAACAACAACCATCTGTCACAAAGTGCTGGGAGTCTGCAGGTTTTCAATCCAACCAAAGGCTGCAGCAGGTGATTCATTTTCTTTCCTCTCAGGTTGATGGAGTGCCAATCTGTGAAAGAACCCGCCGCGGTCTTTGGCTGGAATGAAAGGCTGCAGTGTCTCGGCCCTCTGCGGCCCGGTTCCTGCCCCCGATTCAGATGAAACTGCTCATACAAAACTCAGAAGATGTATTTCTTTGTAGAAGAGCGGCAGTTGTGCCTGAGGCTACTGGGCACTTTGCTGGAAATTCTAAAAAAGGAAGTGCTATTTTTGTTTGGGCGCCATTGCACAGTCCATAAAAATGACTGATGTGGCCGATTGACATGGGATGAGAATCGCCAACATGGTTCAGTTGGATATGAACTGAAAGAGATAAATCTCTAGCCTCTTTTTTCGGCCGCAGGAACTTTCCCCAGAGACTAGGAACCTTTAGAGGAACTCATTGCGTTTCGACCTCAGGGACCAGGGTCTAAACTAAGTTCTGGGGACATTTCACGCCTTACAACGTGCATCAGTAAATACTATGAAGCAGTAAAATGCCGTCGCAGTAAGACAAAACCTTTGTTTTTTGTTTTTTATTCTACATGCTTTTCATCTGAAACGGGCGGGCACACCAAACAGCAACCCCCGTCTTTATACCGCTATGGAAACACGGACAGCAATGGGCTGAAGGGGCCTTTTAGTTCCTTGGAAAGTAGTCTAAAATTACCGGAAGGTTTTTGGTAGAAATACGGCTTTTCTTGTAATTTATTGTATATCAAATAATCTAAAATCAACTCTGGTGATAGAGTCATGGTTAAAAATGAGAAGAGGTGCTTTTGTAGTTTTATGTATAGTTAATCATCAGCATGACATTTGTATCATACTGTCAGCTAAAGGCTGACCAGGAAATCAAGAGTTCTCCAAAACTAAATATCCAAAGTTCTTGCAAATCTGAAAAGGACCTTTCGAGTTTACCGTCACTTTAACAAGCAGGCCAGTATAGTAATGGCTGTGCTCTAATATGTAAGTGCACGTATGACTCTGAAGACACGCCCACTTGCAGGAACCCTGAAGAAGTACAGGGATGCGAGAGTCTGCTTGGTCCAATTTAAGACATTGTAAACATATGAAGGTCTTTGAAGTGTCCAAAGCTCTGTTCTTTGGTCCCTGAAGTTCAAACTGTCCACACCTACATGTAAATCTTAACACTTTGTCCCTCGCTCTCTCTCTCCACCGTCTTCCTCCCTAAACAAACACACACCCACACACGACTCACTTTGGATGGCGGATGTCCGACAGAGAGCGGTTGAGGGAGATCCGGTCGCTGACGTAAATGTTGAAGCCGTTCTCTCTGTAGGCCTGGTCCACCTGGTCAGAGTCCGTCAGCGGGAACGCTTTCCCCTGTTCGCCGTTACCTGAATCAAAAACACACACACACACACACACAGATTTCACTATGAAGAAGAAGTACACCACCTCACTGCATCTCCTCTGCAGATATACTGTACAGCAGTCATCAAAAGTCTACACACCCTTCAGAACTGTATCTAACTTTAATCGTTTGGAGACAAAAAGAAAGGGAAATAAAACCCATTAGATTCCCACTGTCATTAGGAAGAGAAGAAGAAGAAGAGGAGATTTTGGCTCTTGAGGGTGAACACAGATCAAAGACTCAACAAAAATCCCATCATGTGGAGAACGGACCGTCAAGCTTTCCCATGCTTACTCCTACAGGAGGAAGACACATCTCGAGACTTTTGAAAAGACATCTGAATGCCAATATAAATGGAATATATGGTCAATTTCATCGTTGCAAAAAGAAAAAGAAAGAAAATAAGAGCAAAAAGTGACATGTCATGTTAAAAAATGAACTGGAAATGCATAGAACAAAAAAAAAAAAAGGTGGATAAAGAACACAACACAATGTCAAGTTGTAGGTTAAAGCTGCAGTTAAAATGTAACAATATGAAACAGATTTGTTTATAACCCTGGTCTGTATGAATCAGAGGAGGAACAAAGCCGCTGATGAAACGAGATGAAATGAAAGTCAACTCTAATGGCTGAATTGCTTGAGAAGGTTTTTATACATTTGCACAGTTCATCTTGTTTCATTTATTAAAAAGGAGAATCAGGCGTCTGCGCTGGACACCCACAGAACAAAAACTTTCATTATCATTCACAGACACACGTGTTTCATTATGAAATGATCTACTTCCTCTTCTAAAAAGGTAACACGTGTGGAAAATAACTTTTCAGGGATAAACCCATTCACACTCATTCACACTCTTTGTACAAAGGCTGATTTCCCTGAGCAGAAAATAAAACTGAGTTGGTGATGATTGCAGCAGATATAAACTGTATTTGTGACAGCCGAAATGCACTCAGAGCAGAGATTTACACCGCTGCTGCAGAGCGGAGAGCAATAAGACCCCGAGAAGGAAGAGGAGAACGTAAATGCCTGAATCTTTCTTCGGGTTTATGGGATTTTGCATAACTGTGAAGCTTGTGTGCATGATGATTATGTATGTATATTCTTTGACAGAGGAGGGACTACGAGGAAGTCATGACCTACCGGATCGGGAGGCGTCTCGTTTGATTGCTTCATAGTCGTGCCAGTCTTTCCTCCGCACGCCGGCGCGTCCCACCGGAGCGTCCTTCGCCAACCGGTTGACCCCCTGTGGACACACAAGAGCACGTTTAAAGGACCATACCAGATGTTTGTTGCAGTAGATCAAATATGCACATGTACATTTCTGCACTGTCCAAAAACCTCATAGATCTTTAAGGCATAACAAAGCTTTGTGGCACCTTGCATGGTAGCCCCTGCCATCAGTGTATGAATGTGTGTGAATGATATAATGTAGTGTGGAAGTGCTTTGAGTGGTCTAGAAAAGCTATACAAGTACAGTCCATTTTACCTTTAAATTTTGGAAATTATTATTATTATTATTAACCTCAAAAATCTGTCTGGAAATGTAGAGTATATTGGATGTTTTCTTCGATAGCGATTAGCTTCTGAATGCAGCACTGTTTTGCAGCTGTATCTCAAGTACCAGATGTGTGAGACTTCCCCACCATCTCAAATACTTGCTCAACGTGTAGGGAAACACAGAGAAACGGTCAGCAGTGATGTAAAATACACACAACTTGTAAAGCCACCGCTGTGCACCTTAAAGAACCGCTACCACAGTCATACAACAGTGCAGCACACACAAAATAAGTTTTTCTTCCCGCTACTCTGTCAGCATCAGCGTCAGCCGAGAGATTTCTCCCAAGCATCAGGCTCTCACTATCCAACAGCGCTGTGCTGAGAGTTTATCCACAGAAAGTGTGCTCTTCTATTTCATGCTTGACGATCCTGTGAGGAGAATATCAATGGTGTGACGCACAGCTCCGCGGAGGCCTTATGTACACAAGCGCACACACACACACACACACACACACACACACACGCATACCGACAGATACGCTGCGGCTCAGCATACAAAAGGCAGAGGCCGTTTCTTCTTCTACTCAGTCATTCTACACACCGAGCGACTTTCAGTGACTCGGCATCGTGAATTACAGGATCACAGCACAATGGAGAAATAATTAGCTTGATGGGAGGAGGCAATTAGTGAAACACTTAAATACAACTGGCACCACTGACTGCATGAAATATTGGGAATTATTAATCAGACTGCTGGCTTAGAGGAATGTGACACTGAATAACATTAACTGTACACACACACACACACACACACACACACACACACACACACACACACACACACACACACACACACACACACACACACGTGGTTTGAGGACTCTTGGTGGGTTTGGGATCGTCCCGTACTTCAATCCCTTTGTGGATCGAGTTTGAGACCCCGACAGTGAAGACTTTGGTGGATGAGGAAATCCTGGCTTGGTTTTAAGGTTACGGTTTGAGTTAAAGTAGGTGTCCATTATCAGGATTTAATGGACGATAGGGAGGCCATTAAATCACAATTATGGACACCTCGAGCAAGGGCATTATCCCGCTTCCACTTACAAAGAAATGAACAAAAAATAAGACAGTTAATTTGTATTTCAATAAGACAGCAACCTCCTCATTCTGAAGAGAGAAGCAAATGCAGAAGTGCCTTAAACGTGCATTCTTCTTAATGGCCAGTAGGGGACTAAAAAGATGAGAAAATGACTACTTCTCACTTGATTTATTACCTCAGTATTAAACAAGAGTGATGAACATGAGTTTATGGTCTCAAACTCTAGTCTCAAGTCTTCTTCAATACAGCGTGATGTTCATTTAGTACATTATGGTCCATTTAGAGTCAGATAGACCATAAAGCAGAGTATGCTTTAGGGCGGGGCTACCTTGTGATTGACAGGTCTCTACCAGAGCGTTGTCCGGTCTGAGAGTCGTCCATTTTTTCGTCTCAGCACTTTAACTATTTCTGTGTGTTTTCATTTCATGAAAGTAAATTTCAACCTTTTTTGGTCGCCTAAATATGTCTCGTCAGCATCGGTTGTACTTAGCTCCACCCTCTCGTGTCACTTCTGGTTGCAAAAAAACAAAAAGATGTCGACAGCCAAAATGGCTCGAGGTTTAAAATCTATAGACCAACAACCAATGAGTGACGTCACGGTGACTACGTCCACGTCTACGTCTTTTAGACAGTCTATGATTTTCATTTTCACAATCATGCAATGGACATGTTCCCTACTGAAGTAAATAGGACTGACCTTAAATACAACCTGGTATGTAGTCCACTCAAACATCTGTTCACACAGTAGCATTGTAGGGACTCTCGTCCCATTTCACACATACAGCAGTTTGCATATACGGACTGGATTGGCTTAAATATTTTAGCCATCCGAATTTGACCTCACTTAAAACCCACACTCTAAAAGATACTTTATCGATAAAGGTTCTTTTTTTGTAGTCTCATTCTCTTTGAAGAAAAGCTGTTTTTATGCCTTGGTAAAAGCTCCAGCCTGAATGTATTAACCTATTATTCTGGCCTCAGCTGAGACACAGAGATGGAGGCAGATATAAAAATGTATTCCGCACTTCTTCCTCTCTTCTTCTCCTCCTCACCTCTCTCCTTCACCCCCTCCGCCGCTCTCCTCTTTCCGTCACAGGCAGATGCCCTCAGTGTGTCATACAAGGACCTGACAAGCAGCAAGAGTCCATCTGTGCAAATTTATACTAAAAAAGAAGCGAGATTGTGCCGCCCCATTTCCCTCCGATTACAATTTCCGCGCACGTCGCCATGATATTCCTCTGGGGCTTTTTCTTTCTTGCTGCTCAACGAGACCTTGAAAAACAAGACAAGGAGAGAAGGAAACTTTCAAGCTAATATGTGCACATGTTTAGTTTTGTGGAAGCAGAACGGGGGCGGGCACTGAACCTAAAGGAAGTTATTCAGACTGACAGTCAAAGAGGATGAGCATGAAAGAGACAGAAGAAATCTTGAGGAACAGATGGAGGATGCTACCGCTTGTGTGTAATAACTGTGGCGTAAGACAAGTAAGAGCACACTCCCCCTCGATAGCCACCTGACTTAACTGAACTAATTGTGAATGCACTCTGGCTGAAAGACTGTAATAAAGGCTCAAAATGAACTCAATTAACCAGAGAGAAGCTGCTGTTTAGTTATTCATTGAAATAAAGCTCGTGGGAATGCCAGTAGCTTTGCAGGTATTTTTAAATAAACTAAAGAACTGGACAAATTGAAATATTGACCGGCTGATTAAACTACAGAGTTAGAGGATGGCTCTAACTCTAACTCTAACTCTGTGCAGTGTGCAGTGTGTTATTACAATCCTTCCTGAAGGGAAAATGAATCGCCACATCTATGCCAAATAGCAGTGCGTCCAATAACTGTCCCTCCAAAAGTGATGAACGGACCAATCGTCAGACTGATAGTGCTACAACCCCAGCATGGCTACAACAGCTACACCCGAAGCTCATCTTATTCCATTATATAAGACAGAGAGTATGGGGCCATGCTAGCCGCTCTGTGAGGCTGTATGTAGGCACAGTGATGCTTTGAGCTACATGCTAATGCCAGCATGCTGCCATGCTCTTAATGACAGTGCTAACATGCTGATATTCAGCAGGTATAATGTTTACCGTGCTCACCGGGACGTTTGCTGATTAGCACTAAAGACAAACCACCGGATGAGGCCGACGGGAATGTCATCAGTTCTGCGAGTATCGAGTCATTCTGGACTCATGGCGGCATCAGATTAAAAGTCAGCGGATTACAATTCATCCTGAGGTCATGGTTGTGTAAGCAGCAATCCCTCCAGCAGAGACACTAAGTCAGTACCGAGGTGACGGGTCGACCGACAGATATTGCCATCCATAAGAGTCATACCTCTACTGTAGAGAGCAGTCTTGGATAATAATAACCAGATGGTCTGAAATAAAGCAGCCCAAGGCAGACGTTTCATTACAAGCCATAAAAGGCCTGTGAGGGGGCAAAAAGTACCAATGAGAGCTCCAACTAAATATTCAGATTTGTTTTGCTGCTCAGTAAAATACCCACATCAAAGTGGACACAGGGGACGGAGCAGTGGGTCCACAGGATGGTGTGTTGTTCAGTAGTGTAAATTCATCACGAAGACACACGATGTGTGAAGAAATGTTGAATGTTAAAGGATTAGGGATGTTAATAATGAAATGTTTGATTAATTGACAATCATTTAAAAGAATAGCAAAAATAGCATCCCCAAAAAGAACATTTTTTGTTTACGATATGAACTCCGCAGGGTTACTTTAATTGTGTTAAATGAGTGCAATGCAGTAAAAGTATTAGAACCCGGTGCATGTCAGCCAGCTGGTACTCCCTCCAGCCCAGAGGAGGCATCGACACAGAGCTGGAAACAAGGCAGTACCAAACAGAATCATCCGTTTCTGGGCTGTACGGCGGAGCGCCGCCTTCCTCTCCTCTGCTAATCACCGTCATCAGAGCGCCGAGGCTCCATGCAGCCACAAACTCATTTCACTCTGGGCACTTTTCCGCTCTATTAATATTCGAGACACAGCACAAACACACTGATGGGACGAGAAAAACCACACAGGCCCTGCCTTCACTATCCAGCGCGCTCTCATTAAACGGCGGGCCCACCGAAAATGTCTCGCAAATGACACGGCAAAAAAACAGAAAACAGAAATGTTATGTTAGCGTAAAAAATACTCTTCCTACAGTGGAGGAGCAGCGAGAAGAAGATGTGGGCAGAGCCAAGAGGACGGGGACGTAACTCGTGTCACCTTGCAGTGCAAAGCCTCGTTAAATTTAATGAAGCCTTTTTAGTAGTCTGTTTAACTCATGACAAGGGGGCCACATGTCAGTCAGTGTTTGCACACGGATCCACAACAGACAGACTCAGGGTGTCCGTTAACAAATGTGCGGCTGTATGTACAGACACACTAATCTACCTAGAGCGAGGGATCGGCGGTGTCGAAATTCAGGAGCGGCCTCCTTCAAAAGGGGACACATCACATGGTGATGAACCCCCGGACATCACCTCCACATTGGAGTTTGGTAGGTCCCCTGTGTTGCTGCTCCAGTGCGGTGTAAAAGATTAAAGTGGTTTGGGTTTTCTGCTAACTGGCGTTTGTGATTATGACGCGTTCTGGCGACTTAAAAATAATTGCCTAGATCAGCATTATGTTGCAACTTGT